ACTAGGAACAAGAAGCCCCTAGTAGCGTCCTTGCTCCTAGTAGTAAGGCCAGGAGCCCCGTTCGTAGCGTCCGAACGCTCCGTTCGTAGCGAGGCCCTTTGTTACTGGTAGCTTCTTGTTACTACTAGTAAGGCACCTGTTACTAGTAGCGATGCACTTGTTCCTAGGTGCGCGAGGTGAGCTTGCCAGATGTGCCGGGCATCGTCCGGCACTCGGAGGGGAGCGCAGATGGCACGTCGGGCGTGCCATCGCAGTGGCGTGAGCGATGGCCTCCAACCTACTAGTGAATAGAAAACCAAGAAACGGACCATAAAACGCATGTTGTTTTTTCATGCAATGAACGATTTCAGCAAGGCACTACTAGGAGCAAAGGACGCTACTAGGGGCTCCCGGCATCGCTAGAAAGGGAAGGGGTTCTCGCGAGCGGGTTGGAGCGACCTTGGCGCTTTGCCGCGGAACGCCTCGAGGATGATGACCTGCTTCCTCCTGGGTTCGGTTCGCCCAAAACGAGTCAGAAAGGAGATCGAAAGGGGAGCTCGCATGTGAGAGGATTTCCCATGTGCAGAATGTGTCACCAACAGGCACTATGAAGCTACTAGGAGCAAAGGGCATCGCTACTAGGAGCAAGGACGCTACTGGGGGCTCCTGGCCTTACTACTAGGAACAAGAAGCTACTAGGAACAAGTGCATCGCTTCTAGTAGCAAGTGCCTTACTAGTAGTAACAAGGACGCTACTAGGAACAAGAAGGCTACTATGAGTTCAACGAAGTCTCTTCGGGAACCAAGGCCGAACCCCTGGTCGGATGGCGGTCTAGGCCATGTGCTTAGAGACAGGAAGAGTCAAACAAAAAGATCCGAACAAGTGTAAGTTGCAAAGAGTAGCGTTGCAAAGAGTGTCAAAGGAACCAGAAAGAAAGGGAATGAATCCAAAAACGGAATGATGAAAGATCTAAATGTCGAAAGAAATGACGAGATTTAGAGTGGACTGTGGTTAGATCTCTTTGTTTCTTTCTTGGTCTCTTCTTGTTCTGTGTTCTTGAGGCTTTCTGGAATGGACGGGCATTTGGGCTGCGCTGTTGACGGTGGTCTTAGCCGTGGGAGCGGGTGGCTCTTGGTTCATTGCCCGACTGGAACTGGAGCCTCAAACAGCTTCGCAACTGCCACTCGGTCGAAAATCGAAAAGAAACCGCGAGCTCGGCTTCTTTCTTTGGGTGTTTCTGTTTTTGTTTTTTCATTGGTCTTTTGAAGGTCTTTTTCCTTAATGAAGTAGGTGCCTACTTGATTAAGGGCGACTAGTTAGCTTCTAGCAACTGCACGCTGGATAGTTCACGCTTCTTTGAGGACGCTCCCCCCGTCTTTAGGGCGGCAGGGGGAGCTTGCTTGAAGAAACGCTCGCACTAATACATCAGAACAAGAAGTCTTTTACCGTTGTGTTTTCTGCCATTCAAGAAAGTGTCGCATGCATTCCACGTGTGACTCAGCGTTCGAATTGTTCGCAGGTTGGATGTGCTCAAGCCATTGCTGAATGTATACCAGCTGCTATTTCTCGCGAGAGCAGGGACCGCCAAGAAAGAAGGACGTGTTTGAAAAAGAAAGAAAGGTCCTGCGGAGTCCTCCGTTTGAGTCTAAAAGTCTAAATGAGCAAGGAATCTTATTTGGGAAGTTTTCTTGCCGTGACAAAAAAGATGAGAACAAGAGCGGCTTTTCTTCGCCACCTGTCAGGTGGGGGCTCTAGGTTCTTTGCCTAGTCCTCGTCCAAATCCTACCACATCGTCATGTCGGGGGGTGGGTAGGGGCCGTAGCCATAGTATAAGTGTATGTTTGAGTGTAGGTAAGCTATGGTAAGCTACAAAGCTATGAAGCTGTCGAGGACACGGAAGGGTTCAGGCTCAGTGATTTGGCTCGTGTCGTGTCAAGTGTGTCCGCGCGCATCAGACCTGCCAAAGCGAGCACATGGACTTGTCAAGCACACAACTGCCAGAACACATGTGAGGGCATCGCTACGAACGGAGCAAGGACGCTACTAGGGGCTCCTGGCATCGCTACTAGTAACAAGGCCGCTAATTACTATGCATCAGTACATCAGCTGATATTCAGGATAGTCGGGCCATACATGATCGGTAAGAGTGCCTTTTGAAAGAGAAAATATCTGGCCTAGGTTCTTTTGGCGCAGTTCCCGAAGGCCGGGTGATTTGGTGGTTCTTAGCGATGGCCTCCGACCTAATAGCGATGGCCCTAGCTGCGTCTTTGCTCCTAGTAGCGATGCCAGGAGCCCCTAGCAGCGTCCCTAGCTCCTAGTAGCTTCTTGTTTCTAATAGCAAACATTGTTACTACTAGTAAGGCCCTTGCTACTAGTAGCGATGCACTTGTTCCTAGTAGCGTTTCTTGAATTCAGCATTTGTCGCTTCTCAGTGAACCGTCTCGGCAGCTTAAGACCTCCGATTGGCCTTATGCGGTTTGCCACTATCCTACGGAATTCATCTTGGCTCCCACGCTCCAAGCTCAGAAAACAAAGACACGGAGAAAACCTCCAACCTAATGGCTTCTAGCTACTAGTAGCTTCTTGTAACTCGTACTAATGGCCTCCAACCTAGCTTCTTGTTAGTAGCGATGCCCTTGTTACTACTGAACCCTTGGGTTCTTTCCATCTTGACTCCGAAAGATAAGGCGTATGGTCTTAAAACCCGAAGCTGGAGTAGATGCCCGGAACTCACTTCAGAAGAAAGACAGAGAAAAAGAAAGGTCCAAGGGTCTAGTTGAAACGAATGTGAAAGAGATGATCTTAAAGGGATTGAGATGTGTGTAGTGAAGGCCGATTTCTGCTTTGACATACGTACTTGTTTTGCTTTGTTTGTGGTTTTGTCAAGGTGTGAAAGAGTTGCTGTTGTTGTTTCTTAGAATACATCATTGCTTCTGTTGTTTTTTGAAAGAGCTTTTGTTCACCGGGTAGTTATGAGTTTTCTTGCTTTGTTTCACATTGAGACCCCCCGGGTTTGTTGGTCGCTTCGGAATCGTCGAGAATGAACTCATTGAGGTGTCACCTTTCGTGTGGTTGCTTTTCACATCTTTGGTGGCTGAGCTCCTCACAGGGTCCTTTGGCATTCTTCAGATGGTGAAGCGATGCGCTCAGAATGCAGACGCGCAGAACATGTTTTTGTGTGTTCATTTCAAGTGTGTGTTATTGTTTTTTTGTTCGTTTTTGTTGATGTGTTCTATGTTTCAAGTGTTTTGCTGTCGTTTGATGACCTTTAGACCATGTTTTTCTTTCTTTTGGTTCATTCTAGCGAGTGCCTGAAAACAGTGCTATGTCATGTGCACGCAATGCATGTGAAAGCATAAGTGTGAGGGTAGCGCGCTGTGCAGGGATTCAGCTCGATCAAAGATCGGCGAACCCATGGTGAGGATTAGGCCAGAGTCTTGGATCGGTGAGGATGTGTTAGCTTTCACAAAAAGACAGACAAAATAACCGAATTAAGAAGAATAGCTTTCCACAAATTAAGAAGATCTTTTTGGACCTTTAGACCTTGCTGTGTTTCTTGTTCTTTCTTATTCATGTTTGTCATCGGTGTTTTCTCCCTTTCTTTCGTGTTCTTTGGACCCGTTGTTCGCTTTTGGTTGTCCGTTATTTGTGCTTGTTTGTTCCTTTCCTTTCTCTTGGTCTTGTTCTTCCTTGCTCAGGCCTGTAGCCCTTCATTTGGGCCTTTCTCTTAAGACCTGTAGGCCTCTCATGCTTTGGTTTTCTTTTGTTTTTTCCTTTGTCTTTCTCTTTCATGTTCCTTTCTTTCTTGTGTATTTCTTTAGGCATTGTCTCCTTTGTTCTCTAAACCTTTTCTTGCTGTTCCTTTTGGCCTTTGCAACTATCGTTTTCTGTAATTTTTAGACCTTTAGACCGGGTTGTTTTCTTGGCGTTCTTTGGGCCGAAGACAGATGTTCCTCGTTCTTTCACTGGCAAACTAGGCAATAGAAACAGCATTCTGTCAGATTATACCTCCTCACCCTGTTGCTATTACGTGGAGGCCATCGCTATTAGGTTGGAGGCCATTGCTTTCAGTTGTGTCGTCTTTTTTGTTTCCTTTTTGCAAGAAGTCTGTCTTCAGGCTTTTGCCACCTAGTTGGGTAAACGCATCTACCACGAAGACGGACTGTGATTCCCACTGCCCTCACGTGCAACGGGGTGTTTGGTGTTCCTCTATCACACCAAAGTCACCCAGTCAAACCTCGCTCAACAGAAAGTTGCTACTATGCCAATGAGAAAGAAGGAAAAATAAAGGGAAATAGACATGTTTTTTCACCAAAAAAATAAAAAGGAAACAAAAGGAAAGGCCACCTACTAGCAATGGGGTCTCTTGTTGACGGCCTTTCTGCCGATCGCCTTCCGCTCACTCCGAGGTAGGGATCGGCGGTCCGGCTCCGAACCAAAAAAGAGAGCGGAGGGAACCTACTCGGGACGATCGGAGGAGCCGTACTCTCATCCAGGACTCATCCACCTACCTAGCAAAAGGAATCTACTATAGCTTCCTGTTCCTAGTAAGGCCAGCACCCCGTTCGTAGCGATGCCCTTTGCTACTAGTAGCGATGCCCTTGTTCCTAATTATCTCTCATCCATCTAGTTCTCTTCTAAGAAGAGCTATCATTGACTTTAGGGTTGTGTTACTTGTTTCATGTTTGAATTTGCGAAAGACGGCATATAGTCACCCCAACAGCATGTCGCTTGACCTTCAACCGTTCTTATCTTGACCACATGCCATATGTAGTATAGCCATACTGTTCGGAGAACTGCCTTCTTGACATAGGGGTTGAAGCATGGCTGTCAGCTCACAATGCATTCTGAACATGGACACATGAAGCATACCAAGTGTGAGACGTACTTCATGTACCCATTCAGCTTACATCTCCAATCTCAGATGACTGGCTAGACCCTACATCTCCTAGTTTTCGGACCAATCACTTGGTATAGGAGCCCCCTAGTAGCGTCCTTGCTCCTAGTAGTAAGGCCAGGAGCCCCTAGTAACGTCCCTAGCCCTTCTTTTACACGCAACAAATCACCATGGAAAAACAGCGACGAAGCACGGCCGTCGGGCGGCTTTTGGTGCTTTCTGCCGTGGCCACTTGCACTTTCGAAGCGACCTTCACGGAGGGACTACGGAGCGCGAGTCGCACTTGGGCTGCAAAAGCGTGTCTTTTGGCCCTTTCGTTCTTTGTTTCTTTCAAAAGTAACGAACAACTTTATATTAGTCATGTCTATTTTTGGACGTGCTATAACTATAGTCATGTCTATAATATGTTTATCAATACACTTGTGCCTTTTTTGTTTTCGGACCTGTTTCCACAAAGGTTTTAGACTGAGTGCTTCTCGCCGCTCGCTTTCAAGTCTTTCTGCTTCGCAGGGCTTAGAGTTTGCCCAGGAACTGGTCGGAGACAATGAGCGGCAGCTCTTGTCGGAGTTCCGACGTTGTTACAGAGAAAATCCTTATCCAGAGAAGTTGAATTTGTTCTTTCCAAACGAAGAACGGATCATCTCGTTGCTCTATGCCTCGACGTCCTCCTATACGTCGTCCAGTTTTTTGAGCACCGTGGATCGCATCTTCCGACAACTTCATGCGTGGCCGTCCGCATGGCCTCTCTGTCAGAAGCTTTTGTCTCCAGAGCATCCCTGGTCAGAAGCCTATAGCAAGCAAATCATTGCTGAAGGTGCGACTGCCCAAAAAAAAGGGATGCTATAAAAGGCTCGAAAAGGTAGGCCCAAGAGGTATAGCTAAGGTAGAAGAGGTACGTAATTAGTAGCTCTATTTGGTACAGGACGCTTCCATCAACTGGACGCAGGATATAGTTCACGCTTCTTCAAGGAAGCTAGATTAATTGAAAACTTAACTGTAGCGCGATGGCCTCCACCCTAGTAGCGATTTTGTTTGCGTGTTTTGTTCAGGTTTCTGGTCTCCCTTTGATTTCTTCACGGTGGATTTAAGCACGTTGCGGCCCTTACAGCGATATCCATTGGAAGAACTCCGGCAGCAGTCCTCAACAGGCTTTCGAGTCGTGGAACGTTGGCTGAAGAAATTGGAAGAAGAAGGGGAGACTGATGAAAAGCTACAAGGATTCTTGAAGAAGTTTCTGGAGCAAGACAAGATCAATTCGAAAGAACAAGTGATGCGTTTACGTCCTTTGGAGGATTTGCTGGAGTATTTGCTCTCAACTCTCGTCGATCGAATCTTCGAGATTTCGGACAGCGACGCGATGACGGCGATCGTCACGGCCCGAGACCTGCGACAACGGACCATTCTCCACGTGGCGGCCGAACAAGGCAACAGCATTTTGGCCGAACAGTTCTTACAATCCGTTGCAGAAGAGAACCGAAAAGACTTTGCCACTGCCAAAGATGCCGGAGGTGCGTGACCTCTACCACTGTTTCGATCTGTTTCGTGTGTGTGACGAGAGTGGTAGACTTCGTCTCCGCCGCGAGGCTACTCTGCCGGAGATCTAGCACTCTTAGCTGGATACACGTCGACGGCAGAGAAGATCCAGTCCCTAGGCGACATCCGGACACGAAAGAAACGACATGTTTTTTTTAACTCATGAAAAAAGATTTCTCTGTGTTTTTGGTTGTAGGTGGTGCAGAGACAACTCCACCAGCAGCTTTGAAGTTCTTTCCTGCAGCCGAAGGCGAGGACTTGGAGACGGATTTCAGAGTTCGAGCAGAAAGATGAAAGAAGAAAGGGTCCAAAGAAAGAAGAAACATATTAATAAAAAACAACAAAAAAGCCTTAGAAAAAAGGAATCACCGACACTTTCTGTGTTTGTTTGAAATCAACGAAGACGAAGAAAACGACGGCCAGGGCACCCCAAGAGGTCGGACGATGGAGGTTGGAACGAAGAGCCAGGCGAAAGAGAGACGTGTGAAACGAAAAAACACGACACAAAGGATAGAGGTGAGGTATATATGCTATATATAGCTAGTACTAGTTTGCTCCAAGGAAGCTACTACATGCAGGATAGCTCGCGCGAATGATTGAGTTCTAAAGTGTCGTCGAAAAGATTGAAAGTTTCTTCTTCCTCTAGGTGTTCCACCCACGGTGGAATGGTTAAAGGAGTATTCCAAGACATCCAAGACATCGACATCTCAATCGTCCTCTCTCTGTGAGATCGATGCGATTTCGGTGGATCAATTCGATTGGACCGTCTTTCAGACACATTATGTGGCGCCACGGCGACCGTTGTTGATCAAGGGCGGTGTGAAGATGAGCGTCAGTGACCGAGTGAAGTTCACACGAGACGGTCTCCTACAGATCGCCGGAACAAGGCCCGTCCGGGCCTTCTCGACCCCCTACGAGGAGACGGAAGCGAAAGAGACGGAAACGGGTTCGTCGGGTTCGTCCGAAAGAGGAAGAGCCCCGTTCGTAGCTTCTTGTTACTACTAGTAAGGCACTTGTTACTAGTAGCGATGCGAGGAGCCCCTAGTAGCTTCTTGTTCCTAGTAAGAAGATAAGGAAGAGAGGATATTGGATATTTGGGAGATAGTTGCTATACTTATATGATGGTTGTTTTCTTGAAAAGATTAACTGCCCAGTGTTTTTGTTCCTTTTTTTTTCCGGTGTGTGATCTTTTTTGATATCGACTCCCTGCGAGGACGACTTTCGAAATGTACCGGCTGTCGAGATGCCGCTACAAGACTATGTGAATTTCTTAGATCAAAGAGATCAAGAAAGCGACTTTGAGCGTTCTGAAAAGTTGAGCTACATTTTTGAACGTCTGAAAGACGATGAAGGGCCTTTGAGTTTCGCCCGAAGTCCTCCCAAGCTCTTCAAAGAGCACATCAAGCTGCGTGCTGCACAGTTCTCTCTCGGTGGTCAACTCATGGGCAGCACCTTGGCCTTTCAGAGAGGTGTACGGAACGACTTCGGAAAGGCAAAAACGGGAACGACGTCGGAACCCACGTGCTTTTTCTTCGGTTTTGGTGCGGTGAGAAGTGCATTGCTGCAGTTTTGAAGCGGTCAAGAGATGGTCAGTGTAGAGATGGAAAGTGGCGAGAAAGAATGGTTCAAGACCGGCCAACGCTAGAGAGCGGCATGTTGAACTCTTTGCTTCTTCCGATGTGTTCTGAGCTCGTGGCATCTATGGTGGCGATTGATATAATTTAATGATACTTTAACCAGTTTCTGCTGTAAAAAGAGTTCTGCAAACTCTATTTTCGGCAGAACTGGAGACTTTCACCTTCGGATATGCCAAACACAACTTTGGTGAGGACACAACTTTGGGCGGTTGGGTTCACATTCCGAGGTCCATTGCATTATCACGTGGATGCGGCCGGTATCCTAAGAACAACCATGTGAGCATATTCAGAATCTGAAAAGGCTGAAGGGAGTGTTTGAGTTTGTCCATTCTTTGTCTATTATTCTTTTTTGTTGTACTCTTTTGCTTGTTTTCTTCCCCTCCTTTTTTTCACTTTTTTCCTCCTTCCTGAGCCTCGTTTGGACTCGTTTTGGCCTCCGGTTTCAGTGAGGTGAATTCGTTGATCTACGGCCGGAAGCTTTGGTTTCTGAAGCCGCCCGCCGAGCAGGAGTTCCGCAAGACCGTCGTCTACGAGGAGAAAGAAGAGAGAGAGGAAGAGAAGATGAAAGAAAAGAGAGAGAGAGAGAGATAAAGGAAATGAGAAGAGAAAAAAGGACATGAGTTGAGCTGAAAAAGCAGGGCAAGAGAAATAGAGAACGAAATAGAGAAGCGGAAGTCGACGCTACAAAAGTTACAAAATGCACTCTTGTATAGTTCTAAGTGAAGAAAGTCAAAGGCACAAGTGAAAGCAAGAAACAGAAACGGTTGAAAGGCACAAGTTCAGGAAAATAGAAAGACTAATAACTTTTCGTTTCTGAACGACAGTGTTGTGTTCTTTTTCTTGAAAAACAGGCGGCTCGGTGCTTTGTTCCTGTTGGGACCCGATTTGGAGGACCTGGCAAAGAGCGGAGGTCCTCAGGGGCTCCGAGTGATCCAGGAGCAAGTGACTACTGCTACAGTACTGCTACCTACAAGCGTCCCTGTTACTCGTGGTAAGGCACTTGTTACTAGAAGCGATGCACTTGTTACTAATAGCTTCTTTGCTACAGTACTGCTACCTACTGGGGCGTGTCTTTCAATTTGACTGGAGCTACTAGTAGCGTCCTTGCTCCTAGTAGCGAGGCCAGGAGCCCCTAGTAGCGAACGTTTTTTCTACAACTGATTGAAGCAAACAGAGTCTTTTTACGGCTCTGCGGTATATTCTGAGCCAGAGCCTGGCACGTGCCGTGCTCGTTACAGATCTAGGAGGGCGGCGATTTGCTCTACGTGCCGCAGGATTGGGCACATGGTGCGCTTTGCCGCTTGTAACGCTTCGCTTTGTCCAGCGAAAACAAGATCAGAACAAGTCAGAGAAACAAGCTTCAGATTCTCCCGTCCTATGACAGAGTTCACCCCATAAGGTAAACCTTCAACCCACTAGCGACGGGCTCCCTCTCGAACATCGGTAAGGTTGCCTCACCCTAGTAGCGTCCTTGCTCCTAGTAGCGATGCCAGGAGCCCCTAGTAGCTTCTTGTTCCTAGTAGCGCGGCACTTGTTTCTACTAGCTTCTTGTTACTACTAGTAAGGCACTTGTTACTAGAAGCGATGCACTTGTTCCTAGTAGCGTCCTTGCTCCTAGTAAGTAGTAATGCCCTTTGTTACTAGTAGCGATGCCAGGAGCCCCGTTCGTAGCGTCCTTGCTCCTACCCACCCATGTCTCCGTGCTTCACGAAGCACGGGCGGGGCGACGTTTGTTCCTTCAGGACACGGGATCTCCTTCCCTTTCCCTTTCCCATGTTTCCCATTCATTTCTCCTGGGCCACCCATCGAGGAAAAGATTGGAAGTCGAATCCTGAATGTGTCCTATCGCCTATAGTATCGAACTATACGCCCCACCCCATCGTTGTAAAGCAATGGCCTTCAACCCATTTTGTATTACTGTAAAAAGAATGACAATGTGTTCTTTTTGTGAAAAAACAGAACCAAATGCTTGTTTTTCTTCCTTTTGTGCTTCCTCACGCCTGTCTCACCTTTTGCGCTGAGGCCTCAAGCAATGCATCGGCCTGGCTCACGAGTTCGACGTGGTCTTTCGTGACGCGGGACCCGTCTCCGTCGAGACGGTGAATGCTGGGCTCGGTGTGGCTCTCGCCGGCATTGCCTTCTTCTCCTTTGGGATCATCACCTGGTTTGTACAGCATGTTTAGGAGCAGCTTGGAGCAAAGCAGCCAAAGGCGAAACAAAAAAGTGGACCGTCTTCCATCTCATCCGCGCGGTTTCCGGTCCTTGCCCCCCCCTTCAAATAATCGTTCGCCCCGATTGATTCTAGATGTCAGTGATTGCAGTGTCAGATCTCTGAGACACCACTTATTATTGTCTTCCTTCGTGACCTGTCTGTGGCTGCTTCCTTTTCTCAAGTGACGAGACGTCGACGTCGTTCGACGCGACGTCCGTCGTCTCGAGATGCCGATACTGAACCTGCCGATACTATGTCTTTGCTTTTTAGGGGCACAGAGCCTCACCAAGAAGGGGGATGTCAATGCCCAGTTGGGCAATGCCAATGCCAACCAGTTGGGCTACAACCCGGATGACGTTCCGACCGAAACGGCCTTGAAGGATTTCTCCGGCGATTGGCTGTTTCATGTGAGAACCACTTCTTGTAGCTTGGCGCAATCGTGAGAATTACCGCATGCAGGAGAGCTCACGGATAGCTCACGCTTGCACACAATGCGTTCCGAACATCTAGATTTGTAGGGAAACTGATTCATGTTCAGGTCATGGTGATGCCTTCGACAACGGTGCCAACAGCTACATCTCTCGAACATTTCTGCCCATCTTGAGCATTTGCAGTGTGGGATTGCTTTGTTTGTCCTGGAAGGAGAAAAGGGAGAAGGAGGTGTATCGACTCGATGAGAAGAATGAGAAGAATGAGGGTAGAAGTGAGGGTCTCCCGGACAGCCAAGCGGATGAAAGCAGCAACGCGGAAAGCCAAGGCGAGAGAAGCCAAAGGACGAGCCAAGAGAAGTCCAAACGTCTTTTCCATGTGGACTTTGCACGCATTTGTGCCGTGATGTGCGTGATCTTTGAGCATTCGGGCTCCTCGGCGGAAACGTCGATGTTGCTTCTAGACCTAGGCCCGGCCTACTAGGCCTCGGCATTGGTGAACAGTTGATGTTGCTTCTAGGGTGGAGGCCGCTACCGTTGCTGAGGTGGAGTCAGCTACACGCATCGAAACGTGGGCTTTGGACTGTGGTGGGCCCTACCCTATTTGTATGTGACGAGTGGCATGGCTTCGATGATGAGTAAAAGTAGCATCGTAGGCTACGTGATGCGCCTTCTCTTGGTCTTTACCGTGGGAACCTTGGCGAATCTCTTCGCCGACGCGGTGACCCACAGAGATTGGTCCCACGACTTTGGGAACACCATTTTTTCAGATGCTCCTTGGATGAAGCACAAAGGACATTCCGCTTTGGACCTACTATTGGTTAGTATACATGTAGTTTGAGGTTCTTTTTTTGTAACACGTTGTGCTGGAGAACTATTATGTGTTCAGAAAGGGGTGAGGGGGGGTGAGCAATATAGCAAAACCTTGCAACATGTTTTCGTATCAAAAACATGGAGAATCGCAATGCTGGGCAATGCACGTGCATAGTACCTGGCAGTGCACTTCGCACGAACCTCGCATGCAGTTCTTGATGTTATTGTTAATCATTAATTTTGTTGCATCCTTTTCTGGAAAGAAAAGAACACACCACATAAAAAGAGCCTAATAGCAATGGCCTCCAACCTAAGAGCGACCTTCTTTTCGTTTGAGGTTCTTCGTGGTGATGCTACTAGTAGCGTCCTTGCTCCGTTCGTAGCGATGCCCTTTGCTCCTAGTAGCTTCTTGTTCCTAGTAGTACGGCCAGGAGCCCCGTTCGTAGCGTCCTTGTTACTACTAGTAAGGCACTTGTTTCTAGTAGCGATGCACTTGTTCCTAGTAGCTTCTTGTTACTACTAGTAAGGCACTTGTTTCTAGTAGCTTCCTTCCTTGTTCGAGGTTCTTTGTGGTGATGCTTCTCATCATGGCGCCTTTGGCAGAGCCATTGCGCCAAGCCCTGCGCCAGCGCTCGAGAAGCGACGACGGTCCGAACCCGTTGACGAGTGGAGAAGAAGGCGAAAGCGCGGAGAAAGCGCGAAAGCGCGCGAACCCATTTTTCTGTGCCTTGTTTTTTCGATTCACAGATTGGATTCACAGCACAATGGACAACTGTCTGCCCGAATTTCGCAGGGACGGCGTGGAGTACCGGATGGACTTTTGCGTTTATGATGCTTTGGGGCACCATTTCCTGTGCTGCCTTAGCCTTCTTCGTGCGAGGATTCACGGGAGACTCCGAGATAGAAAGGACCTTTCAAGATGAAAAGGTCTCCAGGTGGATTCAGTTCAGGAAAAAAATATTGCTTATAAACACAGCGTTTCAAAAATTATACTGTATATTGCTTAAATATGTGTTCAAGAATCTAATTGTTATATTGTCTTCTTGTATTTGTTTTATTTTTTTTCCTTTTGACCTTGTTATTTCCAGGTGGATTCAGTTCTATGCCCCGGTGCTTCGCCACACCCCGATCATTTTGGTTCACGTTGGAGGCGCAATTTGTCGGGTTTTTTTGAAGCCTTACAAAGAACGCCACTAGGAACAAGGACGCTACTAGGGGCTCCTGGCATCGCTACTAGAAGCAAGGACGCTACTAGTAGCTCCTGGCATTACTACTAGGAACGAAGCTACTAGGTGGAGGCCATCGCTATTCGGTGGAGTCATTTACGTCGGTGTCATCACTTTTAGATCGGTGTTAAAAACACTGCTCGCCAGAGGTACTCTCTTTCTCAGCCTGTTGGCCACTCTGGTTTGCCATGACGACAACACTGGAGTGGTGGGCTGGATTCTGTTGGCATTCTCTTACTTGCAGATGATTGTGGTCCCTTGGGATCAGGATTCTTTCGCCCACCTGGTGAATTTGAACATCGTTGGCATGGTGACCTTTCAATGGTGACATGTCAAGAACGGTCGCAAAAAAAAACATAAAGAAAGACGCATCCAACCGAACCTAATAGCGACGGCAGCGGCCTTTCGATGATACCATGTCCGAAAGGCCTAATTCACTTTCCTTTTAGGCTCAGGGCCTAGCCGGTATAGTATTAGTAACAAGAAGCTACGTTCGGGGCTCCTGGCCTTGCTACTAGGAGCGATCGGAGGCTACTAGGAGGTCTTTGAAGCCACTATAGATGTCTTTGTTTCAGAGATCGAGGCCTTTAGCGGGGAGCGCTATGATCGCCCGGCTGGTGAACGCCTACTGGCCATTTCTGCTGATGTTTCTTTGTTTGGATTCCATGCCGGACATGTGGGGTCGTTGCGATGTCCATTCGCCCTACTCCACCTGGGCTCCTCGGTGATAGCTCACGCTTGCGAAGAAAGAAAGCGAACGCACTGATTTAGTTCGTTCGATGTTCGCAGAGAAGCGGATGTGTTCTTGTTCTGAACTTTATGTGGCGATGTCAGGAGCGATTTCGCATGTTCTTGGGAGAGTTTACACTGGTGGTTTGCTTCATCGCTGGTGCTTTCACACCATCCGATCCCAAGAAAGTGACTCCGTGGCTGAATCTTTGGTCGCTCTATGCCTATTGTTTTCATGTGATGTGGTACCGGCTCTTTGGATCTCCATATGGAGCCATCATCACGTTTGCTTCCATTCCTCTCTTCTACTTCTTGCTGATGTCCGACAAATCGTCCAAACCGGACAGCGGCACGGATGGCGCGTGATCGGAAAAAAAGGAGGAGAACCGCTTCGGATCGCTAGTAGGGCATGGAGCTTTGGAACCCAAGTCAAGGTTTCCTAGTAAGGCACTTGCTTCCTAGTAGCGATGCACTTGTTCCTAATAGCTTCTTATTCCTAGGGAAATTGTGTTGAACCTTCAGTTGTTTGGATATTGAAAAAGCCTTTAGGATGTTTTTTTGCGCGCAGTGACACCGGTGACAAAATTCAGAATTTGTTGCATCTCAGATCATCTCAGTTCTTGAGCGTCCTTTGTTTGTTTTCGATTCATCCGCAGGCATTAGAAAGGATCAGAGAGTGCTTGGTGAGCCTCGATGGCGCACCAATGCCTTCCATGCGGTATTTGTTATGTGTGATGTCGCTGTCTCTTTCTGAGACACAGCGTGTGATTCCTGACTGGCGACAAATTCCTGGAGATGTCAATTGGTTCACAGGCGATGGTGTCCCCAAAAAGTCGATGGTGTCGTTTTTTCAGAAGTCCAAGACGGTATTGTGCTGGAGGCCATCTCTAGGAGCAAGGACGCTACTAGGGGTTCCTGGCATCGCTACTCGAGAGCGATCGGACGCTACGAACGGGGCTCTTGGCCTTACTAGGAGCAAGAAGCATGGAGGCCTTCCGCCTAGTAGGTGGCCTTCCGCCTTGGCCTCCAGGTTGTGGCCTTGGGAACCGAGAGATTCGTGGTCCTATAGCAGCAGGGCTGGAGCAGAACAAGGCAGGAATGAGTACGGCATGAGATACAGTGGGAGTGTCCAACTCTTCAGCCGTTTCAACCTAACAATGGCCTCCCACCTAGCGATGGCCTCCAAGATCGATGGCGACAAACCTTTTGGCAAGAGCAATCAGAATGTGTAGATTTTTGAAGACAAGTTGCAAGAACGTTTCGTGCAAGGACCCGTTTTTGCTCACCAGCAAGCGCTTATAGTCAAAAGAAAGGAGCATAGACAAGAGGTCGCATGCCATGCCATTGCATGCAGTGTCGAAGTTCGTCACCAGGTGCGGAAGCATGTGGCCGTTTGCCTCAGTCACTGTGGCCCGCCCAGTTGCACGCTGAAAGATGCAGCGCCTTTGGCGAGAAAAGACCGAACAAGATTGTGTAAGTAAGCAAGTAAGATGTAAGTAAAGGGCATCGCTACTAGTGACAAAGGGCATCGCTACTAGGAGCAAGGACACTACTAGGGGCTTTCAGAAAGGCCCGGTTGACGGACGCTACGATCGGGGCTCCTGGCATCGCTACCAGGGACCCGAACACTTGCATCAACGCGCGTCCGTCTCGGTGGCTTCCGCGGTGTCCGTGTTTCGAGATGTGTTGCATCACGTTTTGAGAAACCAATAAATTGTATTTGTAATGTTATTGGTTCTTTTTTATGTCGAGTCATAGTTCTTTCTTGCTCTCCTTCTGCTTTTAAGCTATACAGTACAACATTGTACGGTACATAAACAACATGACCACTATAGTCTTGACCTCAAAAAATACGTTCACTTCACTGTTGCAGGCACTGAATCATCAACTTCAAAGCAACACCTCGCAACCATCCAAACCAACAGTTACAGTTGCAGAAAGTATCAAATATCCCGGCAAGAGACCCCAAACAGTGTGTGTAAGGTCCATAAGCAGAAAGTGTAGAGATCTAGACGCATTGGGGTCCAGAGAGGTGATGGTGGTGATGAAGGTGGGGATCGTGGTGACGGTGGCGGTGGTGGTGAGTGAGTGTGAGTGTGAGTGAGAGTGAAGGCGGGTGTGAGTGAGTGTGTGTGAGAGTGGGAGAGTGAGTGAGTGTGTGGGGCGCCTGCCACGAAATCGGCACTTCTGTGCCTGCCACGAACTCTGCACATCGAGGTTCACAAAGCGCTGCGCCTGCCACGAAATCTGCAAACGAGCCACATGTCCAAAACTCACGACTGCACCTGTCACGAAATCAGAGCTCGTCGAAGATCACCACCATGTCCAAAGTATTGTACCTGCCACGAAAACTGCACTTCGAAGAAAAACAGCTCCGATCCCTTGCACTTGTCACGAAAAGTCGACTTTGGAGCACCAAACACGAGGTTTCCCTTGTGCCTGCCACGAAAAGTGACCACCATGTACGAAAATGCGCACGGCGCTACAACGAGAGCGCAGTCGCTAGAAGCACCCGCCGCGGCCACCCAGACTTTGCGAGCCTGCGCAGTCGAAATCCACTTCGAGGATTTCGAGAGGCATGAATGCGCTGTAAATAGCAGCGAATTAGCCGGACACGGCCGTGCGGCACACCTATCTAAGCACACCTATTCTACACTTACCGTAAGAACATGTAAGAACCCCTAGTGTGTCCACACTGTTTGGGGAAGTAGTGCGTTTGTATTGGCGATGGTCAAGACGGGCTCTGTGTGCTAAAGACCAAAGATGCGGTAAGGGGGCTAAGAAAGAAGTCATGGTTTTCTTGCGTTCTTGCATGTCAGATGTCATCGCTAGTAGGTTGGAGGCCATCGCTAGCTACTAGGGTGGAGGCCATCGCTCTTAGGTTGGAAGCCATGGCTAGGAAGAAAAAGAGAAGAAATAAGAAAGTAAATAGTAAAATATTTTAGATGTTGGAAGTTGGAAGCCTCGAAGGCTTCGCACCAACCTCTCGCAGCCGCACCAGGAAACGGATTGCGCCTGCTTACGATGCACGATGTTTTGCATGTCAAGAGGGTCCTATGTGGATGCTTGCCTTAACAATCACACCCGTGACCTGTGCTTGGACTACCAGAAGTACATCAACAGCGGGGGGTCCCAGCCAAACCTTGAAGTCAAAGAATAAATAAAACAAGGCCTTCTTGAAGTCGTGTTTGTCGACTTTGTGGTTTTTCTTTTAAAAAAACTCAGAACATTCCACACTTTTCGAGAGAGTTGGCCACCTTGTGGAGGTACTGAGCTATGTGAAGTTGACTGCGATGCTGCAGCAGGTTTACCATTCAGCGTTTTTCTTACGTTTGGTTTGCTCTGTAGCTCGTTTCTTTTCGCATAGCGAGCAGCGAAGCTCTGCCGCGTCGAGCGTTTCACGTTTCACAGACCTGCGCCACAGGTGCGCAAAGGGTGACACGCAAACCAGAGGGTGGAAAACATATGGAAAACACAGGTTCAGAAGCAGAGAAGAATGAAGGGCATGACACAAAACGTGGGATGTTTTTGAAAATTTACAAAATTTTGTCGTTTCTCAGCCTTTGTATCCACCCCGCTTGTGGGCCGATGCGAAAGAATAGACATAACAAGGTCCAAAAAGTAGGAAAGTAGAAAGTCGAAACAAGAGAAATGTCCAAAGGTCCAAAGACAAATGACAAGAATCCAAAAAAGATGAACATGTCAGTAAAGAGATGTTGAAGGTCCATGCGCAGAAAAGTCATTCCAAGAAGGAACATAGGAAAAAACATTCCTGCAAGCACCACAGATGCAGTCACTTGTGACGCATCAACTCGAGTTGCTATCGAGTTGCTTGTTTTCATTTGGGTACCTTGCCCCATGTAGCTCTTCAAATGTACGCGATAGCAGGTTGTGCGCTGCTTGTCCAGATGTCCGCGTGTAACCTTCACGAGAAGTCCTCGAAGACTCGTTTCTGTCCTTTTTGCAAACCGTTTTTTTCTTCATGTTTTTCTCCTGCCGTTCTTTCGCCCTTTCTTTGTCCGGACATTTTAGCGGTTGCATCAACGCTGCGCTAGTCGATAGTGAAGCAGACATGCCAAGACTAGTTGAAGCTGCTTGGTGCTCACATCAGCGAGACTGATGTTGTCACTTTTGAGTAATTCGACTCATCACTAAACTACAGCTGCAGTTTCATCACTGCGTTCCTCACTTTTTGTGTTGTAGTTAAGGCCATCTCAAGTATTCGGGTGCAGGCCCTCGCTTTTGTGTTCAAACTCGTCCTCCTTGTGGCTTCGAGCAGTCGGACGGCGTCGGACGACGGACGGCGATGGCGCTCTCCGTCCGGACCTCGGTGAAGAACGGAAGAACGGAAGGGCTCCTGGCATCGCTAATGTGCGGTCCTGATTAGTAAATAGGCCCCCCCCCCCCTCAAACAAACAGGGGGTCTTCTATAATAAACTATCACCAAAACAAATCTGGATTCCTGTGAGAATTCCTTTTTGTAATTGATTGTAGTATTAATTTTCCTTTCATAGATTGTATTCAGCTTCCTTTCTCAGGTGCTTTGTAATTGTTCTAATCATTGGCCTCAGGAGCTAAGTAAAGGGAGAATCCACGCGCATTTTTCCAGTGGAAAAAACTTTTCACAATTTATTGTCGAGGATCAGGTGCCTTCCTGGTCTACTACCTTGAAAATTTGTTTAGGAGCAATGTTTTATAAAGGGTTTAATTGGGGAATTGGTGGTTTTGGTCAGCTGTCAGTTTTGAAGAAACCTAGAGAAAGCTATGTCAGCTAATGAATCAAATTCAAACCCTTATTAATTGGGTTTCCAATTGAAAAATTTAGGGCCCAAAACCTTTTAAGCATTATAGAGGAACCATTTTTCAAACAGGGGGGTCTGAATAAATTTGGAAAAATTAGCATTCTAGAGGACCTATTTACTAATCAGGCTCCAACATTACTGGGAGCAAGGACGCTACTAGGGGCTCCTGGCATCGCTACTAGGGGCTCCTGGCCTTACTACCAGGAGCAAGGACGCTACTAGGGCTCTTGGCCTTACTGCTAGGAACAAGGACGCTACTAGGGGCTCCTGGCCTTACTACTAGGAACAAGGACGCTACTAGGGGCTCCTGGCCTTACTACTAGGAACAAGGACGCTACTAGGGGCTCCTGGCCTTACTACCAGGAGCAAGGACGCTACT